CATAACAAACAGACACTATGACGTTTCGTCAGATCGATTCAGTCAGGAATCTGGATGACAAAATTACGACAATAGTGGACAGTTTTTACCAGATTGTTTCTCTTTCGACCCATCGAAAAAATGGTCGGAATTCCCTTAACACCTTCAACGAATTTAATATCTAAATTTCGTTTAAAGGCGTCTAAAAACTAAAATATAATAAAATTAATTATGACATATTTATTACAAATCAGTCGCATACTTAGAAACTTCAATGAGTTATTCGAATACTGAGATTAAAAGCAAGCACGAATGGTTTAGTTTCTCACATTCTGTGCACGAAACTTTCGTGGTTAAAGTGTTGGCATCAAAGAACGCCGAACCTCTGAACGTGAAGCTGGTGAAAAGACCCCTTTCAACAGCATAATTAAAAATCATTTCCGTTATTAAAACGGTCAAAGACGAAAACGTGTTTCCAAACGATGCACGCTGATATACACACTCTTTGACCTTCTGAACAGTCTACAATCGTAATCGTAAGACCTCGATAAGCCCAATTGGAACTAGGCATTGTATCAATGGTATGAACAGGTCGTCAACTTAGGCTAAATTCAAATTCAATGCAAGAAATATTTAAGGACGTATTCGAACCTGAAAGGGATCAGTCAGCAAAATAGCAGCGATTACACCAAGAAAGTTAATTATCTTCATGTCTGTTACGGGATTACTGCGGATACGAATTTTGTTTACTTATCGACATATACGTGACTCGTTGTCAAGGTACCAAGGTGACCTGGCGTCGGTAATCAGGCAATCAGTCAGTCTCGAGGACCCTTGTCCCTTCGAGCGACGGAGGCTGTGACGTCAGACAGTGTCTCAGACATTCCCAATTCTGTGACGGTGTCTGAGCTTCGGCAGAACATAACCAGAGCATCCAGACACTTGCCCGAGGTCGTTCTTGTCCGCTCCTAGGGTAATCGCCCATTATCTTTCCGAGGTTGATATATGAGTACCATTCTGTGGGAAGGAAACAAAAGACTAGAATCTACGCTTGCCATGGGCTTTAGATTCTACCTTAAAAACAAGGCAGTCACCACACCATCAACCTCACAAATGAAGGATGCTAAAATGGCCCATTCACGAAAGTGAAGAAAGATCGACATTCCAACGTTGACCAACTTTCCTTTTTGAAGAAATTTGATTATAAAGTCTATTATAAAATGCCTTAAAAAATGAAGATCATGCTGACCATCTCCTGTATGAAAGAACAATGTTCAATTTTCAAGAAAGTCAATTTCATAAACGTTTAGCTTACCGAACATTCATTTATTGAAATATTGCTTGAATTCATGAATAGTATTTGCGCACTCCTCCAACCTGCATAAAAATCCTTATAAACAGCAAATAAAAATTCCACAGGAATTGGATTAACCCCCTGAAATGCCTCCACAACTTTAAAGAAATAGCAGGCTTGAATGAACGAACTGACGAACCAAAAAACAAAGTTCTGTATGTAAATCAATATTTTTTTTTGAAAATTTATTATTTATGTTGGTGCTCTTAACAATCTGCAGCACCCGGCTTCGTCGATTCGTGATATTCGCCAATCCGTAAAGCAATTTTCCATAAAAAATGGTTGCGATCATGTTCTTAACGGCGAGCAAAGATGTGCATTGCTGTTGCGTGTTGCCGTAATGTAATTCTTACTAACTAGGGCAAAAATTCAGTACAGTACCTATGTATGCATCACCATTTTTGCAAATAACTATAACAATAGAAAATGAATAATCACCTAATAATCTTTTGTCATTATCGCATAATCTGATCACAAACTCCCCCAACAACGCCGCAGAACCATCCAACTAAAGCCACCCATACAGGTAGTTGTGTTGGCCTCTCATGAAGCCTCTATTGTCATATCAGTCATACATAGCATATTTTGTCTTGCTGTTAAGACACACCGACTTAGAATCAGAATGGCCTGTGTAAAATCCAGATGGATAAATTACATCCGCTTTATGCTTTAATCTCATTTATAAGAAATGGAAATGAAATGCTTTACCATGTACTTGTTCTCTGAAAAGAACATAACGTAGAAGAATATGGATGTCGTCGTAATTCAAGGTAAGCGTATTATTTGTGTTCAGCCATAGAGTTGGTCAAATTAATTTCTGACAGTGACAATCTCATCGTCTGTTAAGAGGGTCAACAACTTCATGCGTAAATTGCGGGAAGGTTTATTACCTGGAATTCCCAGGTTTTGACTATTGAAATCGTGGAGAAGGATGTTATTATAATCCAGTTCCTCTATATCCTCTGGAATTTTCGCCCTTCTTACCTAAGTTGTCATGCTTTGTTCAGGAGATATGTGACAAAGTAAGCACATATCTGCCATAAAGTTGTCATCACAGCCTCGTTAATGAACAACTTCCAAGTTCATGGCAAGTTCCAACGGCTATCCTAGCGAATCAGGAGTATACACTCCACAATGCTTCGCTCTGTCGTTCCATCCGTACATTAGTGGCTAATCTTTCTCAAGAAACAATGCCAAGGATTGATTGCGAAAGACAGATTGATTGTTATGCTGCTGAAATAAATTATCACAAAAATCACTGATCTCACCAGTTCATATGGAAGAGTCATGCTGCAAGGATAAGTTAATTAATTGAAAATGATATTGCATTTCCAATAAATTAATGGCTTTACATAAATTTCATATCCCAGTTCTCAAATGCTGATCGTTGAATCATGCATATGCTCTCTTAGTATCGCATACTGTAAAAGTCCGAACTGCATACAGAATGCAGTAACGAAATATAACAGGTCTGCCGAAGAATCCCGAATATAATGTCATCAACCAACAGAACTGACCTTTGGCTCAGTGACGGTGCTATCGTGCTAGCGGCGCCTCTGATGGCGAACTTGAGTTCTAAATAGAAAAACGTACTTGTTTACCACCACTACCAATCACCACAGCTGTCCATCTGGCACGTGCCGGCAGAC